GGATGGCGTGGCGGTCCCAGCGGCAGAGCCGGCCCGTGGTGCAGGCCACGGGACAATCAGCTGAGATGCTTAAAAAAACAACACCCTTGTAATTGGCTTGTCTCTCTGCTCTTCGTCTGTGCAGTTTTGTCCAGGATCACGTTTAACCAATCGTGAAAGAAAAAGCCGACAGGAAAACAGCACAAAATGTCTTAGAGACTCTTCTCTCTCTCTTTGTTACAAAAACAAAAAAGAGGTCCTTTGGGTGATCCAATTCCCACTGCATTTCTACAGTCCTTCCCCCCCAATGGCTTGAGTTTTCTAACACAGTGGTAGCCTGGGGAAAAGCTGCTTGGCACCGTACTTAGAGCAGAGGTTTCTACTGGTGTCATTACGTCAGTGCAAGCATACAAGGGCAAATTGCCTTGACATAGAAAAACGCCAATACAGTTGAGTTGGGAAACCTCATGTAAGAAGCAGTCCTATTTCTACTCCAGGACATAGGGTGGCCTCTGCAGCTGAATTTTTTTTAAATGAATGTTTTACTTCCTAGTAACTCTCATGAAAGCAGAGTGTCCTAACACAGTGTGTGTTCTTAGCCAAGTGTTATCAACTTCCTCTTAGCTGGTATGAAAACCGCCTTCCTTCCTGCCGATGGTAAAGGATTTCCTGCAGGAAAACTGAAAGAATCAAGCAGTTTAAAAGATGTAGTCAGCAAGAGTTTAGGCAATAGCAGGGTATAAGGGAGTCTAGAGCCTAGATGTACTGCTTTGGGGAGTCCAAAACTGTGGCAGTTAAAACAATACTGGGCCCTAAATCAAGCCATTTTATATCAAGTCTAATAGATAGTTACTGAGCCCTGGGAGCATAATTTTGTGATTGTGAGATGGTCCCTTTAGACAGACATGCACTTTTCTATTCTTCCTTTGATCCAGATGGACAGTGCAAAGGTTAGCGCTGCTTCAAGAGTCCAAGGTTTATTATCATGGCTTGCAGTTCATGCAGAGAAGCACAGACTTTCAACAAAAAGGATAACGATAAGAGTTAGAAAGAAAGGGGTGGGGGGACCTTGGGGGAACTGAACACTTGATTGGAATTTTCAAATATTAAATAATCATTGGACTGTTGAACTACAACAGCTGGCAGAAAACCTGTAATTATTTTTAATGATAGATATCTGCTGCAGACTTATTTTATCTTTGGATTTGACATAGGAGCATTGTGTCAGCTCTTAATCCTTCTCTTCTGTAGAAAATTATTGGTAAATTACTTGTGTGCCTGGTATCTTTTTGTGTTGCATGGTGCTATTTTATATATTATGCTTATGAACTTTATTAGCTAACTTCCAATAAGTTGCTTAGTTCTTGTATGTTTTATTTCTTAGTAAAATCCTAAATTTGCTGGGGGAAAAGCAACAAAGGAGATAGTGGGCTTAGAAACAAGGAACTGGGGAAGAAAGGGAGAACGAGAAATCCCAAATGGTTTAAATTTCACTCATCCTAGACAGCTTCTTTTCCAGCTAGTAAGTGTTTGAAGTCTTCTATGAAAAGTCTTTTTGCTATATTTAGATGTTTTGTCATACTAACTGCTACTTGTACAGTATTGAGAGACAGAATACCAATGAGATCTTTCACTCTTCTTTCTCATCTGAGCACACAATGTCTTCTGGAGACAACCAGCAACTTCAGACACTCACTAAACCAGCACTCCATGAAAAGGAGGCCGTTGAATTGACTGAAAGGGTATTTGGATTAAAAGTGTCTGAGATCAGAGCACTCCCCAGCTATGATGATCAGAATTTTCATGTGCGTGTTACAAGGAAGGAAGGAACAGCAGATTGTGCTGATGATTATGTCCTCAAAATAATCAACTCTGAAGACAGCCAGAATCCTGAACTCATTGAAGTGCAGACACGGATCATGATGTTTCTGAATGCTGAAGGGTTTCCTTCAGCTGTGCCCCATCTGACTAAAGATGGTAACATCATGTCTCTAGAATCAATAGGTGAGAGACTGCAAGAACTTTTACATATACCACCATCCTACTTCCCATTGTTTTATCATGCTCATGCCACAACAAGGTACCACTGAGTTACTTAGTGCAAAAACAGTACTAGTCCATGACAAATTGGTTCAGCACAAATGCATTTGCAACAGCATAGGCAACTCTTATGCACTATTGCAAGACTGTTATGGGGAGCAATGAAACATGTGACATGGCTGCAGATATGTACTTTAAAATGCTGTAGCTGGATTGTGGCCTGGTTCAGTAATGAAGAATAAATTCCTTAGAACTTGTGCACATATCAGCTCTAATTTCCATTTAATTATTTTGATCATGTTATGCATTTACTTTCTGTAACTATTCTGATAAGTGAAACAGCAACTTAAATATTGCAGAGAAGGAATTTGCTGCATAGGAATTGGGAATTCATAATTGGTAGTGTACAGTACTAGAAATCTGGGCCTGAGAATGATCTTCATCCACTCTGGGAGAAGAATCCTGCCATGTGACCTCTGTGTTCAAGCACAACTCAAATATCAAATAAGCTGCCCCCAAATCAGCTGATGAGAGCAGGAATTAATAAAAAATGTTTAGCAAATAAACTAGGAATTAAATAAAATGTTGATCTTTTCATAGGTAAATAATAAAAAAGCAGCAATATTAATCAGATCAGTAATATTACATATTATTTGTCCAGCTCTGTCTGTGGTTGGGGACATAGGTTGAAATAGGTCCATTTATAAGGCAAGAGCAAGCTCTTGCTTAACCACTAAGTTGGGGCATGAGTGGCTGGTGTCTCCTGAATCTGGGGGGCACCCACAGAAGGTGCTGCCGCTGATGGTGGCCCTGTCATTGGGGGCACCAGCTCTGCCGACAGCACTGGTGTCAGCCATCAGGGGGGGCACGTGCACCCCCTACCAGTCACCTATCAGTTGGGAGGTGGGAAATACTGCATTTGAATCTGGTCCCCATGCTATAGTTTGCATAGGGCAATTAGGATCTATCACTTTGCTACACAAAATCATGATTTGAACCTGAGTTTTCTTTGGGCCCATTGACTCTCTGGAAGGAATCACTTAGTTGTTGAATGAATGAACCTCTTTGTGTGTAATGTCAATCACAAATGTATGATCAAGGAGTTTCATTTACAAACCGTGTGTGCTGAGCTAGGCCATTTCCTAATGTGACCCTCTACTGTGATTTGTCAGTTTTAACAGCTGCATCTGATTTCTTCCACAATCTTGAAGCCTTTCTCACTCTTGTACCCCATAATCTTTGGTGGAATGCATTTACAATGTATCTCTTTTGCTTATTAGGTACTGGGTCCCTGACAAAAAAGTACATGGTGAGATTGCTGACCTACCTCCCTGGCACACCTCTGGCAAAGTGCCCTACCAATCCTCAGATTTTGTATGAGATTGGAAAGCTAGCAGCTAGACTGGACAGAGTTCTTTCAGAGGTGAGCCTTTTTGTCCTCAGCAGGCAGATGGCACTAATTCATTCCCACCTAGTGTTTTATTCAGCTCATAAAAATAGCTGAGTCAGTATCTCACTATAAGCATTGCATAAGTCCTATAGCTTTGAAGTGAACCTGAGTACATAACAAAACAGCTGCAAATATGAAATAGGCCTGATATGTGGCAGTGATATTGTACATGTTATAGCATGTAGCTGTGTTCTAGCCAGAGCTTTCCTTATTCTTTTCAGTGGTAAAAAAATAAGATAATTGTTATGTTGTAACAGTACTGCAAATTGATGGACACATTGGACTTCCTATTGGTCACTATGCCACGGACAATGACTAATAAGAATGTCCTTGTGACAAAAAGGTTAGATTAGAATATCCTCCTATTGGCATAGGAAAGATCTGTGCTAAGTGTCTCATGGTTTTGTGGGGAATCATATTTTATGCCACAACTGGCACTAGTCAGACCAGGATACAGATGGAGGAAGCTATATCTGGTTCCAAAACAGCTTCCCTCCTTGTTCATTTGAAATCCACTTGATGCAAGAAACTAATTGTTTTTTGCCATCAGCCATACTCCTTGAAGCATAGAGTAGTGGGTGTATTAACATAACGGTTCTCAATCTTTTTAGACTCAAGGAATCTCTTGGAAAATGCCAGCTTTTCGCCTTCACTTGTTTTTTGACTATGGAATAATACTAGAGCCGTGCTTCTCTTGCAGTGAACTTAGAAAGACCGCAACAGGTCAGAACGTGGTGGACACTCTGGGTTCCCATTTGAAATCTGAGTTTATCTTGTGAATTGTGTATAGGTGTTTGCACACTGAACAGTGCTAATATTGCATGGCACCCTTGCTAGGATTTCATGGCACTCTGGCAGAGAATCTGGAGCTGGAGTTTGGCTACAGTGTACAGTGCTCCTGCCAGTACTTGGAAACCTCTGATGCCTGCTGGCTGGGTTTTGGTCATGAGCTCTGGATCAAGCCACTAGCCAGATTTGGGATTAGGAAGGAATTGCTTCTCTGTGATTGCCAAAGTGCATATGGGTTTTTTTTTGCCTTTTTTGCAGTACAGAGCCTGGTCGTCTTCCTAGGATCATCTGAGCATACATTAACTTAACACATTCCCTGTCATTGTACTGGTAAGGCATTGACAGCACCCTTGTCTCCTCTACTTGAGGCATTTATTTAATACTCCTGGCTATTGTATGGGGACAGGGTTGGAGTGGATAATCTTATAGATAATGGTTGAAAAAATTATTGTGAACCAGAAGAAAGGACTCAGTGGTTCAGGAGGTCCCTTGCAATCCTGTTTCCGTAAAAAATGCCTAAGTTATGTCCTGGAAGCAGTCCAAGAAAATGAAAGCACAAACTTGGCTTAAATTTACCGTTGCCACTTTCCACATGAGCTGCAAGTTCTGGGTGGTGCCTCCCATAGTTTCCTGTCCCCCTCCCAGCCCTGCATTTGCCTGTTCCTTGTCATCAAACAGCCAACAAAGTTAGTGAACATAAGGTAAATGCTTTAGATGAGTTTTTCTGAGGGTACAGCACTGTCTCTTTAAATACAATCCACTATTTTTAGTCAGGGTGAAGAGTATTTTTTTCTTTGAACTTCTTAAATGCTGAACGGAGCAAAATTGGAATCTGCTTTTAAGCATGGTTCTAGTAGGTAAGCTATTTTGAGCTCAGTTTGCTCCTGAATGACTGGTAGAGACTGGGCTTGGCAGCCCCAATTTATGTATACAGTAATGTATGACACAGTTACTTGTGGAATAACCATTCTGTTACACCACATGAAAAATGCCTCTCTAGTTATGCCCCCTTCTCCATTCCTTTCATGTCCTCTCCTTCACTGAAAATAAAGACTGTTTGTTCACTTCTTTCTTTAGGCAAATTCAGTTATAACCAACTCATGAGAACAGTCTTACTTTTTCCCTTTTCAGCAATTGAAATTCCTTTTCAGTTGGGACCTGGATGTTAAACGCAGGTTTTGTGCAACATGGCACATGAAATGATTCAAGATCATCTCAGAGAAAGTGTGCCTATATCTCATTAATGCAGGAGAGGGAGTGTGGGCTTGTGAGGTTCTTTGGGGGATGGAGGAGGGAATCAGCCTTGGATGTGAAGTAGGGGAGTGATTGGGGGGAGGGGGGGAGTGGGAGGGGGTTTGACATACCTCAGTGCGAATGAGGGTTGCAAAGCAGAGTTTGGCTAGGCTGGAGGATTGCTCTCCAGCAGCGTAATAGGTGGAGGATGCAGAGGAGTAAGTGGGGTGCTGAGGAGTTGTACAGTTCTAGGGTGCTGATTGAGATGTTTGCTTGTGTTACCTTGTGAGTTGTCTGTCTGTTATTGTAAACTGCTCTGAGCCTTTCTGGATTGGGCAGGACATAAATCTAAATAATAATAATAATCACCTAATGACAAAAAATGATAGTTGTCAGCAGGCTCCCTTTGGTTGTGGGCCTGGGGGGGTGGGTCACAATACAAATCTGGCCATGCAGTAGCATGATGGAGCCTGTGTTTCTTCAGCAATGAACTGTTCAGCTAGTGATCTCATCTGAATTCCCTTGACCTTCTTTGAAGACCTGTAAACTATAACCATGACTAGCAATAAGAACAAAAATGATTCCTACTGTTTTTAAAAAATCCTTTTCATATTGTGTATTTAATAATTTGTACGCTGGTCAACAAAGCTTATTACAGGATTAAGGGCCAGAAATCTTACATGCGTGTTTCAAACCCAGTGCCTCCCTGGCAGCTGTGCTGGGTTTTTCTTTAGATGGGACTAAATCAAAATTTCTACTGTGAATAACCCTGGTATTTATGGGAGTTTGGATCTGAATCCAAACTTGGCAGCTCATAGCCACCCTTCAGCAGTTTAGCAGCAGCTGGCTGGTACAGTTGCAGCTTGAAGATCATTTTCACTTATTATTAACATGAAAAGTAGCAGGTACCCATGCACAGGAAATTGTTTTGGGTAAGGTCTTTGGTGAGAGTCATACCTATATGACTGAACAAATGCAATGGATTGAATAATACTGTCAGGTAGGAAGGATGGTACATTAGGTAGGGACTTGGGAGGGCTGGGTTCAGATATCCTGTGTGACTTTGAAAAAGTTAAATATATGCTCATGGCTCCAGCTCCCCATCTGTAAAGCAGAGATAATGGTACACATTCCCTTTTTTCCCAGTTTATTTTCTTTATGCAATTGATGCCATTTTGTGAACAGTTGACTTTATTCTTTTCCCAGTTAGCCTGCATATGTCTCACCTGGGAACAAAGGAGAGGAAAAACATTTCTAAAATAGGAATATGTTGTCACAAAATGATAAACAGTGACAGGCAGACTACTGGGAAGGTCTGGTACTTTAATATAATGATCAGTTCACATTAACAGTAGCCTTCTAATGCATACGCTGACCTTGTGATACTGTGTGTGGCAGTATGTGAAGATTGTAGTATTTTGTCAGCAGGTGGCATTGTTCTACAAGTGGTGTTCTTTTTATTGCATTGGAGGTGCTGTAATCACATTGTAGTTTTGAGGCAGTATTCTGGTCTTTGTATCTGTGATTTTCATGCATATCTAGTGGCTTTTATTAAAACCAAGAGCTCTAGTTTTAAACTGATATTTCATTCTACAGCAAAATCTGGGCCGATGTTCTCTGATATTTTATACATCTGGCAGAATCTGGCCTTAAAGACATCTTAACCAATGCAGAGAGAGAATTCCAATATAAGAAGGGCATAAATACAAATAGATGCTTGTCTGCCCCTCTGCCTTTGCACAGCTTAAAAAAAATATTACTTTTTGGATTAAGAAAATAATTTAGTAGTTTATGGATTACCAATAAATCTGAAATACCTAGACTCCCTAGATCTGCTAGAGTATGGCTGACTTGGCTGTTTCTCCTTTTCAGGTAAATGAGTCACATAATATAATTGTGTGCAGGTCTTCTGGGTGACACCTGCCTCTGTTGGGTGGGCATTCCT